GCGGGCGGGCGTGGGGGGGAGCCCCGGCTGCGGCTGACGCGGCCCCGCTTGTCCCCGTAGGGCTGCAGATGAAGAGCCCCGAGAAGAAGCGGCGCAAGTCCAACACGCAGGTAGGGCCGGGCGGCGGCGGGGCCGGGAACGGGGCCGGGGCCGGGGGGGCCGCAGCCCTGACCGGCGCCTTCTCCCCGCAGGGCCCCGCCTACTCCCACCTCTCGGAGTTCGCCCCGCCGCCCACCCCCATGGTGGACCACCTGGTGGCCTCCAACCCCTTCGAGGATGATTTTGGGGCCCCCAAGGTGGGCGCAGCCCCTGCCCCTTTCCTGGGCAGCCCCGTGCCTTTCGGCGGCTTCCGCGTCCAGGGGGGGATGTCACCGCAGGTGCCCCCCGGTTACGGTGGAGGCCCCCAGCCCCTGCGGAGGCAGCCCCCCCCCTTCGCCCCTGGGCAGATGGGCCCGGCCTTCAGCATGCCCCCCCAGAACCCTGGCTATGTCCAGCCCGGGGGCATGGGCTTCCCGGGGCAGCCCTTCAGCCAGCCCCTCGGACAGAACTTCAGCCCCCCCGCGGGGCAGCTCCTGCAGGGGCCCGTCGGGGGCTTCGGGCCCATGATTTCCCCCACCGTGGGGCAGCCCCCCCGGGGAGACATGGGCCCCGGGCCAGCCCTCAACCCCCCCGGGGGACCGGCAGCCTCCCAGCGCTTCAGCCAACCCGGCAACCTCTTTGGACAGTCGCCCATGCAGCGCCCAGGGCAGAACGTGCCCCCCCTGCCCCCCACCGCCAGCCCCTTCCCCGGGGCTGACCCCGGCTTCCCTGCCGGCAGCGAGGAGGGGGGCAAGAACCTCAACCCCACCCCCAGCACCTTTGCCCAGGAGCAGCACTCAGGCTCGCCCGCCACTGTCAACGGGGCGCAGCCCGGTTTCGCCCCTGGCAGCACTGGCCGCGGTGCTGGCACCCCGGAGACCAACAGCCTCCCGCCACCCCCACCCGGTAAGGCAGCCGGCAGTTCAGGGCACCAGCCGCCACCAGGGCTGGTGTACCCCTGTGGGGCTTGTCGCAACGAGGTGAACGACGACCAAGACGCCATCTTGTGCGAGGCCTCCTGCCAGAAGTGGTTCCACCGGGAGTGCACGGGGATGACGGAGAATGCCTATGGGCTGCTCACCACTGAGGCCTCTGCCGTCTGGGCCTGCGACTTCTGCCTGAAGACCAAGGAGATCCAGTCGGTCTATGTCCGGGAGGGCCTGGGACAGCTGGTGGCCGCCAACGACGGCTGAGCTGCTTTCCCACCACTGCCAGCAGCTTCCCCTGCCAATTTAGGACCAAACCCCCTTTTTTTGTAGCCGCTGCCGCTGCCACCGCCCCCCCCACCAGCCAGAGATGGTGCCAGGCACTGCCTGTGGCTCCACCAGCTGCCACTGGGACCGGGGCCGGTGCTGGCTGTGCCATTGCCAGCCCTTTGCTGTGGGGGAGGCTGCAGCCTCGGTGCACTGGCCCGTAGGGGCTGAGGCTCCCCGGTGCCCCCCCAGCTCTGCCTCGTGGGGTCAGTGCTCTTGGAGGGCATGTGTGTGTGTGTGTGTGTGTGAGATCCGGTCCCCACCGCCATCCACGACTTCCCCCCGGGGCTGTGCAGCGGTCCCGGTGTCCCTTCCACATGCTCGGGGCAGTCCTGCTGCCTGGGACAGTCCTGGTGTTACCCCTCTCCCCCCTTTTAGCCGATCGTTAATGGAAACTTTTGTACCGTCGCTATAAAACTCTGAAACCCGCGTCTCAGTGTCTCGCTCCGCTCCCGCCGGGGCGGGGGGGGTGTCCGGTACCGGGGGTGCGGGGTGTCCGGTACCGGAGGGGCCCCGCGTGCCCGCCCCGGGCTATCCCATTGGTCCGTCGCCGCCACCGCCCGTCCCCATTGGCTGTTCGCGTCACGTGCATGCCCCTTCCCGAGGGCGGCGACCGGCACCGGGGAAAGTTCCCGGGGAAAGGGACCGCGGCCGGGGCCGGCAGCGGCAGCAGGTACCGCCCGGTTCTTCCCGGCCCTGGGGGCCGCCGAGGCGGAGTCCGCTTCCCCGGGCGGGGTCCGGGGACCCCGGGCCGGGAGTTGCGCAGCGGGCGCGGCTTGAACGAGCACAGCCCGGTACCGAGGCCACAGGGGCGGGGAGGGAGGGAGCGTCACCGTGCGGGGCCGGTTCCGGGTACCTGGGGGGAGGGCGGGGGCTGCTCGAGGTCCCGGTACCGCCGCCGTCCTGCGGCACCCCGGGGTCCCCATGCCGGGCCCCGCGTCCTCCGTCCACCTGTCGGGCAGCATCACCCGGCTAAAAATACCCGCGGCGGCAGCTGGGGGCGGGGGGGGGGGCGGTGCGAGGGTCTGGTTTTCCTGGGGCGGCCGGTGCTTCGGCCGTGGCTGCTCCCTGCAGCAGCCGGGGATCCCCCGGGGTGGGCAGGGTTTGGGGAGCGGGGACCGCACTTCTCCCAGTCAAATCCCGGCGGTGCTGGGAGCTGGGTCATGTCCTTCTGTCTGTGCCTCCGTCCCTCTGTCCGTCCCTCTGTCCGTCCCTCTGTCTGTCCCTCCATCCATCCCTCCTTCTGTCCGTCTGTCTCTCCATCCCTTTGTCCATCCCTCCTTCTGTCCCTCCATCCCTCCATCCGTCTCTCCATCTGCCCTTCCATCCATTCCTACTTCTGTCTCTCTGTCCCTCCATCCCTCCACCTGTCCCTCTGTCTGTCCCTCCATCCGTCCATCTCCTTGCAGGTGGCTCTGGACTGTCCCCATGGCAGAGAAAACAGCCTCCCGGGTCTCGGACTACAGCTGGGTGCTGGCGGGCGGTGAGGTGAGGGCTGGAGACACCCTGAGGCAGCACCCATGGCCTGCCTGGAGCTGCAGGCAGGGCTGCGGGCAGAGGGAGGCAGATGGGGGTTGAGGCTGAAGGTGCCACCCGCCCGCCCCCCCTTCTCCCAGGGTCTGCCTGTCGACACGGTGGGTCCAGAGCAGGATTTGGCCTCCCATGGGGCTGAGGATGAGGAGCTGCAGGAGGAGGAAGGCACCCAGGACACCACCACAGGCAGGCAGCAGCCGTGGGGACAGGGCAGACCTGGTGTTCCCCTGTGCCGCTGGCTCACCGCCGCTCTCTGCCTCTCCCCAGCCGTGGCCGCCAATGGCACAGCTGCCTTCCCCGGCCAGACCCAGCACCCAGAGAGCAGCGGGCTGGGGGTAAGCCCGGGAGCAGGGAGGGGCTGGGGTCCTGCTCACCCCGTGGGGATGTTTGACACCTCAGTGCCTGTGCCCACAGGACCTGGAGGAGTGTTGGGACCCCAGGGCCGGGGCGGTGCCCGCCCCAGATGGCTCCACAGAGCCCGGTGTGCCGGATGGCGATGAGCAGGAGGAGCCCGATGCTGAGGCTGAGCCGGGACCCTGCCCTGACAACCCCATAGCAGGTCAGGCCCTTGCAGGGGACTGGCTGGGGGGGTCCGTGCTGGCAGTGCTGGGGTGCAGACCCTCCCTGGAGGTCCCCCCGTCCCTCCCCAGGACCACCAACAGACGAGGGGAGCTGCACCAGCAGTGATGATGATGTGGAGGGGCTGCGGCGACGGCAGGGCCACAAGCCCTGTCCTGGGCCCCCCCCTCCCGTGCCTGCCCAGCACCAAGGGACACCGGATGCCAGTGATAGGGACGGGCTCAGCATGAGCAAGTACCTGCTGGGTGCCTTTGCACTGGTGGCTGTGGGGCTGCTGATCATCTCCGGTGAGTGGGGGTCCCAGGGGCAGGGCAGGGGTCTTGGTGTCCCCCTCATTGTCCCTTCCTCTCCCCAGGTGGCACCTACGACCTGGCGGATGGTGAGTATGGGGGACTGTCCTGCCCGGGCAGGGTACAGCCCTGCAGCAGCCTGGACATTCAGCCATGGTCAGACGTCCCTGACTGGTTCCTCTCCAGGTCCCATGGAGAACGTGGTGAGCCAGGACGTGGCAGCCGGGGAGCAGGAGTTGCCGCTGTCCACCGATGGCAATGTACGGAGGGGGTCCGCAGCGGGGCTCAGCCCCTCTGAGCTGGCCAAGGGGAGGCAGTGTCTCCAGTCCCCCCGGGGCTCCCATCCTTCCTCTACCCCAGGACTCACAGCAGAAGGCCCCCTCGTCGGATGCCGGGGACCCCCAGAGCGTGCAGTCTGTGAGCCTTCTCCTGGACAAGCTGGCCAAGGAGAACCAGGAGATCCGGCTCATGCAGGCGGAGCTGCAGGTGGGTGAGCGTGGTCGTGCCTGGGGAAGCCAGGTGCCATGTCCCGGCACTGCTCTCGCGCTCCCACCTCACTCATGGCCCCCCCACTCCCTCCCCCTGCCCCAGGCCCACAAGGAAGAGCTGCACGCCCTGCTGCAGAAGAGCGAGGGTGAGCCGGTGGCGGCTGGGGCGCAGCAGCAGAACCTTGCCGCGGAGAATGCGCGGCTGCGCGCAGCTCTGGAGCGGGAGGCCGCCGCGCTCCGTGACGCCCAAGCTGAGCTGCAGCACCTGCGAGCTGCGGGGTCACCGGGCAGCCCCCGGGCTGGGGAGCCAGCGTCAGAGCAGCCCCCCAGCACGGGTGCCTCAGCCCATGGTGAGGATGCAGCACGGCGCGAGGGTACCTGGCAGCACGGCCGGCTGGCTTTGGTGCGGCAGGAGCTGGTGGGTGCCCTGGAACGGGCGCGGGGCCCTGGGGGTCTTGAGGGGCTCTTGGAGGAGCTGAGCACCCTGGAGCAGCGCCTGGGCCAGGAGCTGGAAGCGGCCAAGCCCTTTCCTGGGCCCTGGAAGAAGCCCTTCAAGGCAGAGAAGAAGGAGAGCAGGCGGCACAAGCGGCACGGTGCCGGAGGGGTCCCCCACGAGCGGGAGAGGAGGGAGCAGACCAAAGCCCACAGGCCCAGGAAGGACCACCGGCTCCCCCGGGAGCACAAGCCAGGGAAAACCTGGGGGAAGTCGTCTCACAGTCCCCCCCAGCACGGCCCCCGCAAGCTGCCCCCTCTCAGCTGGTACCAGGCACCCCAGGGCTGCTCGGGGGTGGCTGACTGCGCCCGCAAGGAGGGCCGGGAGGTGCTGGGGGCTGCGCTGAAGCCGGTGCAGAAGGCAGAGTTCCTGCGGCTGCTGGAGGGCTTCATGGGGCGGCAGGGCTGGGGGGGGCACTTCAGAGGGCTGGCGGCACAGCTGGACGGCGCCTTCGGGGCCGACGGCACCTTCACCCACGACCGCCTGCGCTTCGTCGACTTCGTGGATGACGTGGAGGAGCTGCTGGAGGAGGTGGCGCGGCAGGAGCGAGGCAACGAGGAGGCGGCCGACGGTTTCGAGGAGTATGTGCTGCGGCATTACGCCGGGGACGGCGGGTGAGCCAGGGCGGGCGGTGCCAGGGGGTCCTGCGGGGCCGAGCCCTGGGACCCCATCACAGCCCCCCTTCTCTTGCAGTGCCGCTGGGAAGGAGCAGGGCCGGAAAGCCACGCGGCAGCACAGCACGGGGGGGTAGAGCCGTGGGGGGCAACACCTTAGTGTGCTGGGGCGGCTGCCCCACTGCAAGCCTTCGTCCAGCACCCCCAGGCAAGGGCTCCCCACGGGCCGTTTTTGGGGGACCCAGAGGCTGCCGTCGCACCCCACAGGGCCGGGTCCCCAGCGGGCCGTGCTGTGTGATGCTGCACTGTCACCCCACAATAAAGTCACTGCTGGGCTGAGCTGTGCGGGTGTGGGGAAAAAGGGGGGGCGGGGACGGG